CTGGTTTTTCGGCGCCAGGTAAAGACCTTTTTATTTAAACATCATTTTAATTGTTAAAACATATGATCTGGCCAGGGCAACTTCTTCTTCCTTCTCTTTCTCCTCCTATATTTTTATTTACTTAATTTATACTGATAATTTTAATCTTATATTTGTAAATCAATGTATTTTTTGTATTTTGTATTTAATGGTAATTTATTATGTGCTATTGTATTTCATTGTATGTTATCGTGTTGTAAGCCGCCCCGAGGTTTCGGCAAGGGGCGGCATAGAAATGTTATAATAATAATAAATAATAATAATAATAAATTCCATATTTTCATGCTGAAGAATTTTTTTCCTTATGAAAAAATTTTTTTTCCTTTTTTTTATTTTTCCTTTCCTTATAATCACAGACACATGTGACTGGGAAGGAACTGTGCTTATTTGTATAAAAGGGGAAATTAGAAATAGGCTGTATAATTCAGGCTGGGTTTAATTCATGTAGGATTACTTGGTCCCATCATCTCTGACTTTTCATTTGCTAGGTTGTTATTATTATAACATTTCTATGCTGCCCCTTGCCGAAACCTCGGGGCGGCTTACAACACGATAAAATACAATGTAAAAGGCAAACATAGTTTATCATTTATTTATTTTTACTTAGTGGCTATTGCTGAACAGTTATCACCTGGATGAGGAACAGTCAGTGAAATAATTATCCCATATGTTTGTTGTGTGTTGTTAAAAGACTTGAAAATATAAATGATGTGCTAGCTACTGAAATTTACTTATTTGGGAGGAAAATAATCTACAAATTATCATAGACATGAATCTATGTCTTAAGATCCCACATGGGATCCTTCTCTGCAGTGTGAAACTTTTGGTGTATATTTATGTAGTAGGAATGGGTTATATGTAAATACCAGAAGCTTCGTGTCAGGAGTGAAAAAAAAAAAAAAACACCCAAAGAAAGTCTCCTAGGGGTGCACAATCAAGAGAACATTTAGTTTATTCAGATGTACAGGAAATACATGCTGCATGTAGGCCGTCCCCAAAGGGACTTCAAAGTGTGTACAAGACACTTTTATAACCTATCAGTTACATACACAGTTTGAAGGAGGGGTGAGGGATCAGATGGGGGATCACTTAGGCAGTTTGCTAAAGGCACCTTAAAATAAAACAAAAGGGATTAAGACAACACAACGCAAAAACCCCTTTAGGACAGGTAATCTATTAGCATATCTAAGAACGTATCTTGGAAGAACAAGCAAGCATTAGCATCTCTAAAGTGCAACATGGATTCCTAACCTGATCAGGAATCCCATCTTAACTCTAAAGCTGTTCTTACAGTGACAGGCTTTTAGCAGCAATATTGTACCAAAGCCTTTGCTCATTTTGTCCTGACAATGGTGAAATGTGGCACATTTAGTTACTGTAAATCACCATAGAGAACCAACAGTGTGTTCTAAGGTTTCCACATTTCAGCATTGCTTCTTGTGGTTTCCCCATTTCAGCCAGTGAGCTTGGGTTGTTAGTGTTAACAAATTATGGTTTGTTAGCACAGTTGTGCTCAGACAGCCTATCGTACAACCCATAGTCACCCCCTGAATGGGGGTTATGTTGTCCAAACCCAGCCAGATTCTCTTTGTACCCTCTTCACATGAATGGGAGGGTACAGTTGTTGCAGCATATTTCCCTTCAGTGAGAATAAACTTGGAAAAATGGGGGAAAGAAAGTGACCCATCTGTTCTGAGAAGAGAGGAGAATGTACAGAGATATATGGCTCCTGCTGCTGTTGCCCCCTCCAGTGTTCTCCACAGAAAACATTGATAAAGGGCTGTGGTTTTTGGATGTTTGTGTACCCTTCACTGAGGGCAGTGGCAGGCAGTAATCTGTTGACCTGCTCACACTCATCATAACGCTTTGTTTTTGAAGCCAGTGCATTGAACTCTATAGTTTGGCTGTGACAGATGTATTCATGTTTCCTTAACTTGGTGAAGACTGATAACAGTTGTCTTTTCAATGTCTTGTGATCCTTAACTGTAATGGATTCTGTATTTACCGTTTTTCCCCAGGTCCTTGGCCATGGGGGCTATGACTCTGATTTTAGTGATGATGAAACAGGAGGTAAATCTGACCAGAGGAAAAACAGGTAATACATGGCACTAGCAGCATTTTAAAGTCTGTTGCATATGTACAAATGACAGACTTCCTTGCTTCCTTTTTCTCAAGCTTGCTGTCTCTAAGGAGCAGTGGGTAGAAATGAGAGATGAAAAGAGCTGCCTTATCCATACAGTGGCTGTATGCCATCTCATTTGCTTTTTTGTGCTTCATTCTCTGGAAACAGGGCTGGCTAGCCTTTTTGCCTGTCTCCCCCTCTGCCACACCTCAGCAGGATTCACCAGCCTGCTTAACAAGTAAATTCATCAAGGCCAGGTGGCTGCAACCTGTGTGGTCATTTCCTGCTAGAAGGAAAGGAAAAGCTGGAACAACTTGATAAATTCAAATTTATTTATTTACTTAAAATTATGTTTAGACTGCATTTAAATGTGGAACCTTCTCCAAGCAGCGTAAGAGGTTAAAAAAGTGGAAGCCGTAAATCTCAGTAAGAACATATTTAATGAAAATCCATAAAAACACAGAATAAAATAATAAAGCCTGCGACCCTGTCTTTGCAGCAGCTAAAGGTGCCTTTCTATACATGCTTACATTGGAGTTGGCTCCTAAATGGGTATATTATTTGTATGTTAATTTAAATTGGTAATTTATCATTTGTTAGGGCCCAGCCCTATTGTACCCCCTTGAGATGGAAGCCTCCAAACTCGGAGGCTTTTGTGAATCCCATGCCCTGCCAGGCTGTTGCCAGCAGGGTAGGAGGAACAACAGAAATGATTTTCCCTCACTGTATTCACAAATAATGACAATCCAGAGAACAATGTCTGTGTTCTCATTTATAGGGAAATATCAATCAGTTTATTAGTCAGTCAATGATGATAAAAGGGAAATTAAAATTGGTTGCTGTGGGGAGTGGGTTGACTTTCCTTGTTGGTGAACATTTCCTTTGCATGGTTTCTATATCGATCAGTTGTCATCAGTTAGGCTGAATGTCCTAATACCCTGGTCTGTTATTGCTTGTGGAGTTTCTGGCTGGGTTCTAACAACATAGTAATCCACACTCCAGAATTGTTGTTGAACTGTGGGTTATTGTTGGATGATAGGTTAACATGTTGCCTGTATCCAGCCGTGTGAATAAACCATGGTTTGTGAACCACAAGCCACCTATGAAAAGAACCTATGGTTTGTTGTGAACTGTGTGATGTTTGCGGTTCACAGACCATGGTTTCTTAGCATGGCTAGTAACACCAGTAATGCACAGTTCAACACTAACATTTGATTCAATAAGAATCTTTTCTACCTTTGAGAGTGTGGGTTATTGTGTGGTCTGAACCCAGTCTTTGAGTCCTTCAATTCAGTCCAGCCCTATGACAAAGTAAGGTGCTTTGGATTTTTTTTTTTTTTTTGGTGTGCAAAGCCCAGAAACACAAAACATAATAAAAACCTTGTGAAAATCATAAAAACACAAATATTAACTCTGTGGTCCTTTGTGTGGGGAAGAGTTTATTGAGAATTCTCTTTTAAAGCAATGTATTCCAATAGCCAAATATGAAAATGTGCTTATTGGTTAGGGGAGGCACAAGAAACAAGTGAAAGCAATAACCTTATAGGCAAACACACAGAATTGCAAATAAAATCACAAAGTTAATTTAGCTTTGTCTATGTGCAGAACTATATTATACTGGTCAGAGAGGTGAGAAGAGGTGCAACAGTTGGTTGAGAATATAGCCATTAGAAATTAATCTAGCTCCCACTTTCATGTTAATCAGAACTGATTCCAATTCAGACAGATCTTTCTTGACTACTTATTTATTTTAAGTAATTCCTGGGAAGTAATTCATTCCATCCTGGGATGTCTATCTTTAGAGATCTGTTTCTTCACTCCATTCACAGTTCCTGTTATTCAGAGGCATTTTTTTTCACTGCTTGGTGAAAAAACTAAGTAGAGTAGATTTTGATCCTTAGTAGTATCAGCATGGGACTGCAGGTGGCGCAGTGGTTTAAACCGCTGTGCTGCTGGGCTGGTAGATTGAAAGGTCACTGGTTCGAATTTGCACAATGGGTGAGTTTCCATTGCTCCGTCCCAGCTCCTGCCAACCTTGCAGTTTGAAAGCATGCAAATGCAAGAAGATAAAAAGGTACCACTTCGGTGGGCAGGTAACAGCGTTCCGTGCACTTTGGTGTTTAGTCATGCCGGCCACATGACCACGGAGACTGTCTGCAGACTAATGCTGGCTCCCTTGGCTAGGAAACAGAGATGAGCACCGCCCCCTAGAGTCAGGCATGACTGGACTTAATGTCAAGGGGAAACCTTTACCTTTACCTTAGTATCAGCATCTGTTAGAAAGTAATGTTCATGCAGATAGTGTGAAGATATATTCTTCTTGAGTATTCAAGAGAGAGACTGTATTTACCTTATGTTATATTCATTCACCCCCTTCCCTTCTTCATCCTACTTGACAAGCACTGAAGATGCATTACTCAAAAAATCGTTCCAGAAAGAAAAGCACACCAAGGTGGCTCACAGACAGGTGGCAACAGATGAATGGGACAGGTACTTTGCCACATTTATGAAACATTTTCAGAACAACATTAAGCACACGGAATGCATTACTACAATGGTGTTTGTTTTACTAGGGAAGAAGCAAGAAATCGAAGATTCCATTTAATAGCAATGGATGCTGTATCCTTTATTATTTATTAGATTTATATCCTGTTACTTATTTATTTGTTGTATTTGTATGCCTCTCTATAGCCAAAGGCTCTCTGGGTGGTTCACAGTACAATATTAAAAATATTTTCATATTTCATTCATTAATTCATAATTAATTTTTTAAAAGAATCTTACAAAGAACTCAGAACAGCGTTCATAATTCTCCTCATGCTCTCAATCTTATCCTCACAACAGCAACTCTGTGAGGTAGGTTGAGCTGAAGTCTGTGACTGGTCCAAAGCCACTCAGTTGGTTTCATAGCTGAGCAGGGAATAGAACCCAGATTGCCTGACTCCCAGTCCTCTGCTCTTAACTGCTACACTCCTCTGGCTTTAAATATGCATTATGTTGATTTTAAAGTTCCTTTTCATTTTGAAAAGAAAATACCTTAGACATTTTTCCCTTTTCCACATTTTTTTGGAAGATTGCTTCTTTAAGGAAGGGACCCTGTCTTGAAACCCCGGGGGAGCAGTATTAGAGGGACCCAGTATAAGACAGTTTTGTATTTTCCTACGTAATAGGGTTCAAATTCTAATTATTTCTATAATGAAAGTAGAGAAAGCTATGGTGTATAATTTCCAACAATACAGATACTCTGATAAGAAGGATATTCAGTGTTGCGTGAGTAGAAGACTTTGCTGCCCTTTAGAATCATCACTAAATAACAGGTCTGTGAACCTCTGGAACCAATGGTAGGCTGCAGCATAGAGGGCTGCGGTAGGTGTGTGAAATCAACCCAAAATTGGGTGAATCCATTTAGTTTTCCTTGGGTGAGTCAGACAAACCTCAAGGATTTTTGTTGTTGTTGTTCTGGAGTCTCTAGTCCTGATACACTGTTCTTGCAGGATCATTGGTCTGGTATTATCCTTCTTTTATATTACAAGTGAATTCCTTAATTCTGTTAGTATGCAAGACATAAGAAATTTGTGAATGACTATATTTTATACTATGGTGGTAAGAAAGAAGACTTCAAACGATCAGTGTGAGTACAGAATAATTATAGTAGACTGTCTACTTCTAAGAGTTACTAAGGTTGCAATTCTGTGCACTAATAATAGAAAGCAAGACAAATTGAAATCAGTGCTTCTAAGTAATTATTTATAGGACCAGGCTGTGCATAAATAAATTGAAGGCTGCTTTCTGCATTACAGTTTATTTATATTCATTCCATGTTCAATTAGCTTACTTGCAACAAAGAGAAAGCTTTGGGGCAAGTGTTGCAAGTATGCTAACAACTTCTCTGTGCACGATATATGTATTTGGGGTGTGTGTGCATGGATGCACACACATGTGTGCACATAAATTTCAAAAGCAATCTCTTGTCTGAGAATATTACTAAACATGTGCAAGAATTTGTTCTTGCATTCTTACTAATACATTTGAAACTAAATGCCCTTCAATTAGAAAGCTTATTTTGATTTACCATGGTCATAGTCTTGAGAATCAGTTGATTATCTCCCCCTGTCCAGGATGGGAAGAAGTGTTTTTTGAATCTGCGTGGTGGAAGATGTTTCAAAATCAATTTGATATAGGGTGGGGTGCTCTTCAGTGAAAGATGCCATTACTTGTATGGAAGCCCATGGACTAAAGGAGCTCTTTGGAAATGCAGAGCATATACTTGCAAAAATATTCTGACTGGCCAGGACCTCAAGAGCCATGGATGCCCTGCTTGGCTCACACCAAATAAATGGATGAGGTCCATCTTGGTTCCAAACCCATTTGGTCCTGTAAGACTGGACAAAGGTGGGTCACTTTTTGACTCAGATATAAAGTGCCCTACTTAGTTGCTACACAAAAGCAGTGAAGAACAATATGGATTTTGTTGTTTATGTATTTTTGTGCTACTTTAGGCACAGTATTTATTTAATAATCATTTATTTAAATTTATTACATATTTGTAATACATATGTTAATAAAATTGGGAAGTGTAATGTAATTAACCAAACTGATGAAATAATGTAATTAATATATTAATGTGGTACTTACACAAACTTTTTTTAAACAGAGAAAATGATAAGACTGACCTTGATATAGTAAGAGAAAACCACAGATTCTTATGGAGAGAAGAAGATGAAATTGACATGAACTGGTAACTTGCACTGTGACAAAACACATTGATTTATCTCTTTCAGTCTCATTTTAAGACATATGTACAATTTACATTTGATTGGAACATTTAGGCAGACTAATGCTTCATTCTGATGGTGAGGTATACTCAAAATAGAAAATAATGGATGCTGTGAACTGCCCAAACAAGCAAGTTTTCTTTAGAAGCCTGCAAAACAAGGCATCTCCAATACCTTTTCTGATCTCTGTTTTATAACACAAGTATTTATGTATACTCATAAATAGGCTACAATCCTATATCCACTTACTAGGAGCAAAGCCCATTTAACTCAGACTTACTTACGTCTGAGTAACCATGTATAGGATTGTGATTTATAGGAACAGACTTTTCACTAATATTCTGTTGCAGCTTGTAATTATGGAAAACAAACTTGCCAGTATTCCTGTTTTGCCAGAACCTTAACTGAAATAACTGCCCATCATTCTACCTCCTGCTACTATAGTACCAGAATGATCCATTATTACTGTCTTCTTTCAGGGAGAAGAGACTTAGCAAGAAATACTATGATAAATTATTCAAGGAGTACTGCATAGCAGATCTAAGTAAATACAAAGAGAACAAGGTACACACTTAAATGTACGTGGGGCTGTATATGTTCACAGAACTAAATTAATTTCCCTTTGGGGTTATGTGTGTTACTGAAAAAATAGATGAACTCATAGGCAATGTCCTGAACTTTTGATGCAGTCAATAAACTATGCTCAAGTACAGGAAGTAGGGCAGTTTATAGGGTGGCTTTAGCTCTCCATTATTGTTTACTGGGAATGCCACTGCTTCAAGCACTCTTTAGTGTTGACTGATTGTTGTTAGGTTGTCTGTTAATACAGTGCACTGGAGTAGCAGAGGTAGGAGTCAGCACTGGGGTCAGTCCAAGCTTGGGCATTTCTTAAAGACAAGGCCTAATGGAGATCCAAGGGTCAGTATGTACTAAGTTCAAAGGGGAACTAAGTAACAAGGAAATACTAAGGGCTCAAGAGCAGAGATTAGTGCAGGAATCATTTGCCCAGAACTGAAGAGCTTTTAAGTCTGATGTTACTTTCTGTCCTCTGTACTTTGGTGAGTTTGGGAGTGGGCAGTGGCTTAACCACTTGCTGTCTGATGCACCCATGCTCCACTCCACCAAAGGTCTATCTGGTGCAGTGGGGCTAGTGTGTTACAAAGATTACAATATTATTTGGCATTTGGTTGATGCTGGAAACCTCATATGACCATTCCAGTATGGCTAAACATAAAAAGAGAGCATAGTTAGGTGTCCCACACGTTGGCAAACTTTATTCAATGTTCTTTGCTGTCTTTATTTCTTTTCATAAAGGGTATTGAGAAAAATACCTTTGAATGATGATATGCTTAACAGGGTTATTATTACACAGGTCTTTTTAAGCAGTATTGTGGGAAACAAGGGCAGGAAAAGGGAATGATTGATCTCTGGAATGCATGGACTCTGTGTCACTTCCCCAAGTGCTCCATTCACCTCTTCATGCCCTGAATGGACAGGCAATTCTAAACTTACCTTTGCTATTAAGCACCAGTATCTCTACTTATTCAATATATAAAAATTTGAGGTAATCTGTATTTAGTCAAAGCATGTGGCAGAAAACCTCAGTTTATCACATTAAAGGCTTTAAAGAGATGATAGGAGCAGATATTGCTTGTTGTGAGATAAGACTGCTAAAAAAAATTACAAGCCTAACATGAAAACCTTGATGGCTCCTAATGACTCAGCCTGTGCGTTTCCTTTTCCTTTTCTTCTTTGTAACATTGTTTTATTGATCATTTCCACAGTGTATTCTTGTGCCACCAGCTTTCATCATTTGCATGCTTAAATGCATTAAACCTTGCATTATGCATGCATTAAATGCATTAAACCTTGCATTCTAGGTTTACAAAATTCTGTTCATAGATGGCCAAGTCTGGTTTGATTTTCAATATAAATTGTACTGAATAAGTTGGAAACGTTTGTAATAAAATATAATGAAAGCATTGGATTTGGCTTTTGTTTTGGTCACATTTAAGAATACACATTATATTTGCACATTATTTTTATCTTTTTAATAGTTTGGGCTTAGATGGAGACATGAGAAAGAGGTTATTTCAGGAAAAGGTGAGTTTCTTTTTTTAAAAACTTACTTGACTTGGGCATAATGACTTCTATGGGCAAGGATTTGTACACAGAATGTGGCTTTCTTGCCTCCCCTCTTGATGCATTCCTCTAAACACTTGGCTTTTTAGTTTTTGTATTGACATTTAGAGAAGTCCTCCTGGGATGTAAGATGTAGTATGGAAGATGTAAAATGTAGTATGGAAGGCTGCAGCTGGATGTAGGATTAGCAAACATTAAGGGTTAGGGTTGGGCCAACATCAGGAGCCAGCTGCTAGCTGCCACTCCTCACAGCATCTGGAGGCTGTGATCCGAATTAGGAATTTTAAGAGAAAAGGAGAGGTGAGCCTTCCCAGTGCACACACTGATGTGTAGCCTCTGGCCTACTGGCAACACAGGGAAATATTGGCCCACATTGGAGAGGGTGTGCCCCAGTGGTGAAACACATATATTGCAGCAGAAGGTTCCAGGATCAGTCTCCAAGTTGTCCAGATAAGGCAAAGAAACAATCCTGCTAGAAAGCCTAAATAATTCCTGTCAGTCAAGTGATGGCTATACTGGGCTAGATGAACCAAAAGCCTGTCTCAGTGTAATGTAGCCTTTCTTCTATGTGTTGAGTTCCCTCCCGAAGATGATATTTAACAATGCTACATTTGAAGGACCAAATGATAGAATTCAGGGAAATAGAGCTATCGATTTTTTTGTTTGTAGATTAAGTTCAATTAGGCAATGTATATCTTCCCAAGCTGTACTCCTGATAACACATTGTTTTAATGATACAGTATATCACTAATATATATTATGAGTTTGATCTAATTGTCCTTAAATTATAATTTAAAAAACCAGGAACTTGTTTCTCAAAGATTGCTGTAGTCATCAGTCATCAATAGCACAGTTCAATATTGTTGTTCACCACTAAGGGGCACAAGCATTCAACATTATTATGAGGTTTTATAGCAGTAGTTGTGTAACCTGTTTTCCTGAATTTATTCTTGCAATGTATATTTTGTATATTTTTACTAGTGTTATGAAATCAGAAAGTTATAATACCTGTATGGCATATATATCAGCATTGAGTAGAAGGGAACTGTTCCAGTTTAGTCTGCTTTTTAATATAACATAAAGCATAAATTCTGAAATACTGCTGGTTTTAGCCTCTTAGCTGTATTTGCCAACATTTGATAAAATAATTATATTTTTCTTGCATTCTTTATGTACTGGTGACAGCCCCAACCCATTTAAATCAATGAGAGTTTAGTTACTGGCATAGGATTACTAGAAGTGTAATTAGAGTAACATGGGTACTGTTTATTAAAACAAATAAAAATCCTTTTGCTTCCTAATTTTTGTGTTTTTATTGATACTAAAATTCATGTTTCATACATTTTTCTTTGAATATTTATTTATGGTGTGCTTTGTGCAATGCAACACTATGCATGTCTATGAAGATGTAAGGTCCATAGAGTTCCTGCATGGCAAGTGTGCACAGGATTGCATCCTTGAATATGAAAAAGTGTATGAACAACAGTAGTTCTGTGTTTTGTGATTCAAGCTTTAGCATTGCAATTGCTTCTACACTGAAGTATCTGAGGACACTGCCAATCCATTGGTTAGCAGCTTAGGCAGAACATTCTGAGGTTAATCTTTCAAAAAGAGTACTGGAGGTGAGCCTATTAATACAGATCCTAGGCATGTGAATGTATCTGTCTTCAAAAGGCTTCATATCACTTGTACTATGCACAGCATTAGAAACAAGAGAGTATAAATGTAAGCAAGTGTGAAATGTTTGTCTTTCATTTAGGAGGAAGTTCTTTAAAAAGGATGCTGCATGTTATGCTTAATTTGGAGCTGAGTTCAAGATTTGCAAATAAAAAGTGACAAGATTTGCAAATAAAAAGAGAACTGCATTTATTGCACAGGAGGGCTTTTGACTTTTGTTTTGAACAGCAACCTTTCCTTTCCTAAATACAACACAGCAATCTGATTTTGGAAAACTGTTCAAAGAAGTTTCTAAAACAGTTTACAGTGCCGTATAATGTGGGTTTGCTGTTCAGAGATCCAGTCAGTATGTCTAAAGGAGTCATCTGGATCAGGGACAAAGTAGCAATAACTACCAAAAATAAGAAATGTAGTCAGTACATTGTATCGTTCAATACAACAATAAGAAAAGTGTATTGTACTAGCCAAAGGCCAGTACAATAGCTGCACTGTTTGCATTTTGATTTGGATCATGCAAGTATATGTCATGGCATCTCAAGACCATCCTTATTTTCTAGGGAAATAATCCTGTAGAACCTAGGGAATGCCTCATCACACTTGTTTGATCATTAACTGTATAATACATTCCTTTCTTCTTCCCTCTTGCCTTATCTTTGCAAACTACCAGAGATTAGATGGGATTTGTACTAACCTAATCTGTTAAACTGTTTTTTTTCCCTTCAGGGCAGATATTGCTCAATGATAGTGACTTAAAAACAGTTTCCATTGCTGTAACTTAATTCTGATGTATTATCAATATCTCATGTTATAAAACAAACTTCAATGAAGTACTGAATTTAGTGCTATTTTTTGTTTTTTATCTCTCGCCAGGTCAGTTTTCCTGTGGAAATAAGCACTGTGATGAAAAAGAAGGCTTGAAGAGCTGGGAGGTGAATTTTGGTTATGTTGAGCATGATGAAAAGAAAAATGCACTTGTGAAATTAAGTAAGTCCTTCATACAATTAGTTTTGACAGTTATGTAATTTTTAATGGATCTTGCTAGGCATATTTTTAATGTTTCCATGGTATAGAAAAGTAGAGCTGATATTTTAAAAGCCCTAGTTAAAAAGGAGAATTTAAACCAGAGTTCACCAGAGTGTAGTGTCGCTTCATTTAAAATCAATTAGTGTTTGGCCTGTGGTTTATGTGGAATAGGATATAGGTGCCCACATGACCTAATATAACACACTTTCCTGACTTCAAAAGCCAGAACTGGAAGAGTGCTGGTCCGCTGTGAGCCTGCTGCCAATTGTGGGGCAAAGCAGATACCCAGCAATGGTTACCATACTGACTACTGATGCCAAGAGAACCCTTGGTTTACCTTGCACAGTGGGAGTGGCAAACCTTTTTCCTGAATGAACTCTATCTGGTCCAAAATTATTGGAGGAATTTCAATTATTGCGGCCCAATGATGTGGACAAGGTGCTTGGAAGAGTACGTCCCACCACTTGCCTATTGGATCCTTGCCCGTCTTGGTTAATAAATAACTCCAAGCACAGGATTGGGACCTGGATCTTGGAAGTGGTTAACGCTTCTCTGAGGGAGGGTCAAGTGCCTGCCCCTTTAAAGGAGGAGGTAATACGACCGGTCCTGAAGAAAGCGTCACTGGATCCAGAGATGGCCACTAACTATAGACCTGTGGCCAACATCCCGTTTCTGGGCAAGGTGTTGGAGCGAGTGGTGGCGGGACAACTCCAAGCACTCTTGGATGAAACTGATTATCTGGATCCTTTTCAGTCCGGCTTCAGACCCGGGTACAGTACTGAATCTGCCTTGGTCACCCTGTACGATGACCTGTGCAGGGAGAAGGACAGGGGGAGTGCATCCCTGTTGGTTCTTCTGGACCTCTCGGCGGCTTTCGATACCATCGACCATGGTATCCTTCTGGATAGACTTG